CTAATGCAAGTTCCTTTCCAATACAAATCACAACTGCCTAAAATCCGAATTAGAGACAGTCCACTGACTATGTTTTAGCTGGTATTTTGAGACCATTGCTAACTTTATCCATGACATGATTAGCCAACTTCCAGAAACAGGAAAGTAACTCCAGACGATCCTGTTTTTCATAGTTTACTGAACATCCAGTGTTATTCACCAGAGCTCATCCAACAACAAAGCTTGCTTTCAGAGTAATGTAAATGGCCTGACCAACTGGAGCCACTGGCAGATTATCAGTGGTTCTTCATAGGTTAGACAAGATCAATGAGCCACAGACTATGTTATGCAGGCAGAAACTCCTCTCAGAAAAATCAGCCTCCCCTATATATTCCAAGCCAGACAGCACCATCACTGTCATTTTCATTCTTCTTGTATGATCCATAGATTCATAGACTGGTTTGGTCAGAAGGGGCCAAGAAGGCCATCAAGTCGAACCCCCTGCTAGAGCAGGATGCCAGTTACACCATCCCAATCAGAATGTATTTGTCAGTCTCAAATGAAGATTATATAAATAAATCCACAGATGTTACTAACCTAGTCTTTCTCTTCTCTAGCAGCCTGCTTATTTTCTAAGATGGGTATGGAGCATGGACTGGATGCTCCATTCCTTCCCCACCTGCCTACTCATTTGCCTGCATGAAATTTGATGTGTTCGCCTACACCAGTGGTTCTCAGACTTCAATAGGGGGCCAGTTGAAAGGCTGCAGTGACCGTCGTGGGCCGGTCAGGTGGGGGTGCCTGGGGGCACGGACCGGTGAGGTGCTGTTGGGCACGTGCGAGGCACCATCAAGCGTGCACAGTGGTGGCTTGCTTACTCAGAGATCTCCCAGCAAGACCAAAACTATCTCCAAGTAAGCAAGCCACCACCTCCCCGACCGTGCAGCAAGCGCATGTGTGGGTGACGAACGGCGGCACAGGCCAGATGGATAGCCATGGCGGGCCGTATCCATCCCGTGGGCCGTAGTTTGAGGACCCACGGCCTACACCAAATTCCTCATCATATACAGCAATCAGGAAGGAAAGAGAAGAATGGGGAGGGGGGATAACCCAGAGTGCCCTAAATGATCATCTAACACAGCTAAACCATTCACATTTTGATTCATATAATGTATTTGGTCTTCCTGCCAAAATTAAAAGACACTCATTTAACTAACAGTCCAATGCACAAGGATAAACACTTTGGGTTTAAGCCAAATTTATTATATGCATATCAGCAGGGGGGGAAATTAAATAGATCAGCATAAATCCAAATGACTAGGTTTGAGATACAGATACAGGAAAGCCAAAAATTTAGTTTCAGACATCGGACAATTTGACAAAAACAGGATGCTTTGAACTAACCACACTGAGTCATCTATTTCTTATTGCACAGGACAAATTAAATATTAATTAAAGGCCTACATGAAGATCAACTGACCATCTTATTTTTTAGTCTCATTTTTAAAATTAAGTTCACCTATGATTTTTCCAAGATAAATAATTATACTCCCTATCAATATAGCTTAAACCAAGGTTTACCACCCAGGCTGTTGTGAAGGCTAAAAATATAATGGGAGAAAGAAAACAATATTATGCATTGAAAGAGTGAATTATTACTGAATTGCATTTATACTCTGCCTTTTCCTCTTGTGGGGAACCCAATGTGGCTTTCATAGCTCCATTTTATCCTAACAGTACCAGTCCTGAGAATTAGGTTAGGCTGAGAGTGAGTGAGGGACAGAAGTCCATGCGGTGAGTTTCATGGCCAAGTGGGGACTAGAACCCGGATCTCCCAGATCCTGAGACC